CCAACGTCAGTTGTGGGGGGTTTTTTTGTTTGGGTTTTTTTTTTTTTTTTTTTTGTTTGTTTTTTTGTTTGGTTTGGTTTTTTGTTTGTTTGGTTTTTTTTAAATTCCCTGAATAAAATGCCAAATTATGCCCTAACATTTGTGATGGAATGTGCTCTCCTTTCCAGCCATCTATGAGCAATCGTGTGAAGCCTATAAGCACAGAGGGAACACTTCAGGCTTTTACAGTATCGATTCAGATGGAAGTGGCCCCTTGGGACCGTTTCTCGTCTACTGTAATATGACAGGTGAGGTGATAAACTTCCTTAACTTGCAGCTCATTAGACTGAAACATGAGTTGTCCAGTGAGGAACCTCTGCAGCTCCCGAGTTTAATGTAAACACGCACAACAAAACAAAGGTGACTCCTCAGCTCAGGATATTGGACAAAGAATTAGGCAGAGAAATTAGAATAATAACAGGATTCAGGCTGTGAAGCTAACACAGCATTGCTATTGTGCTTTCCATAAATGGGACGTGTTCTATATGAAAACAGTGTCATACTAGTTCATTTCTGGGGAGCAGCTTTGTTGAAGCCTCTTGAGGACACTTAAGGAAATGAGAAATAAGTTGTGTTTTATGAGAAATTTGCTGATTTGTTTGCCTCTGGTAGCCTGAATTCTGAAAAATTGTAATTCAGACCTACCCTTTATTGTGAGGGATATAGGTGTTAAATTTCATTTTTCAAACTGCAAGGAGAGCTTTTGGAGAATACAAATGCAACCAGTGGGACTTTTGCAGCCTCACTTTCAGGCACCCTGTTTCTTCCTCTGCCACCAGTTCTTTGAATCTGATCACTTATATAATTAAAAGCTCCAGGTAACAGAGCTGGTTGTCAGTCTGCTCTTTAACAAATGACTTGATCTCTGTATGGTATATGGTGTATTGATATATGTCCTTTCAACAAATCTTACATTTACATGGCTTTTTGAAATTTATTATTGCATGATTTGTGTTGTTTCCTTTTCTTTTTACTTAGCCCCTGTTTATTCAAATTGCTTTCCAGAAAAAATGATGGAAACACTTTATGGTTTTGTGTGACAAAAATACATTTTTACACAGCTATAGGTGTTTAAAAGACTACATGTATTGATTTAGGTATGCCCTAACTGTTGAGAACTTGACTTAGAAACCATTCCACAAGCTTTTAATGTTGAAAAATTTATGGTCACATCTATTTCGTGAGAAGGTACCTGATAGTGACATTTGTTGATTTTCACTGTGATGTACAGAAAACATATTATTTATGTTGAAATAATAAGATGCTTATAATTTCAGTCAGTCTGTGTAACTTAACTAGTCTGACTTCTGAAGTGAACTGTGCTAGCTTACAGTGAGCACAGATTGGCACAGGCTCTTAAAAAGAAATATCCTAGTGTCCTATGAGACTAAAAGAGCCCAAAGAATCATGGCAAAAAAATGACAATTTTTTCAAGTGGGTATAACTCTCCAAGGTACAGTGTAGTGTCTGATTTATCCTTATGTGTCCGTGAACAGCTGTTGCTGTTTTCCTCAGTCACTCCTTATTCACCACATTAAGCAAACATCATTGATCAGTTCTTCAGCTCAAGATGCATCCTGACAGGATGAATCTTCTATATTTGTTTCGTTCCCAGTTTCCTCATGACTGGTATTCCCTTTTTCCCACCAGAGGCAGGGAAGGCAGATGCCCACATTTCATCTTTGACATTCATGGGGCTCAATTTTCAGGCAACTGGGAGGGAGGTGCCATTCCCTGGTTTTATTCTTGGGGATCGTTTTCAGAGTGAAAAGCCCACAGTCCACACTACCAACTAAGATGACCAAACTTTGCAGTGCACTATTTTTCCTTTGTATATTTGGGGGTGTGACAATGAGTCTAACAACCTTTCTTTATTTTTATGTTCGGTGTAATTTAGTGTTTAGCTATATACTTATTGTCTGTGTGTATGTACATGTACAAAAAACAAACAGAAAAAAAACCAAAACAAAACAACCTGCGTCCGAAAAAAACCAAAATCTAAATCTGCTACATTTCTAGACATCTGTTTTTTGACACAATAATCATACCCTTAATCGAAATTTATAATTAGATAAAAAGATATTTCATTTAGATTTCCTGATTGCTACTTGTCTTTAAATGACCCTCAGTTCTTTCCTCTCTATAAAAGTCTTATAATGTCTGCCACTTGTGGCCTGTAGGCAGCTGGTGAATTATAATACAATTCTGTTAAATTCTGTTAGAATTGAATTCTGTTGAACAGTTAGAAATACTACTATAAGAATGTCAAAGCTATTATAATCAAATACTACAAATTAAAGAGATAATATTTCCTCACACCTTTTCAAATTATGTTGGCCATTAAGATGCAAGAATTGGTGACCATGAATCTAATCTTGACTGCCCCAGACCAGGTTTAACAGGGAGCCTGCTCACTTCTGCCTTGAAAAGGGTTTTTTCATCAGGAGAGTGAGACTGTTCCAGGTTTTGAAAATAGGAGCTGAAATAAAATGAGCTCAGCTCTTTCCTGTGCACGGAAGAAGGTGCTTGGCAAAAGCATAAAACAGAAGAATGAATGAGCCTTCGTAATGACTACTGTTTAATTTTAGATTTTTTAATTTTAGAATTACTCAACTTCATATAATCTCCGTTTTACAGTAAATACAGTGTATGCAAGCTGCTTTTGTATAATAGAAAATGCTTCATACACAATACATTAATCCAAGTTACAAGGATATATGTAATGTAGTTAGATTCTGGGACAGAATCTGGTGTTGTTTTATGCATTATTTAAGTGGGGAAAAGTAACAGTACCAAGTGTTATTTCTTTCTATTCTTTCACTGTGATTTACTGAGTCAACAATGTTTTATTTCTGAGACAAATATTTGGGTGTCTTCACTTGCTCCTTCTTTATTTAATAATCATAACTAGTTGAATACCTGTTACAATCATGGTGCAATAATCTACCTGTAAATAGAAACCACGATTAATTGTTTTCATTTTTGCTTAGTGATTTATGTCTCTGTTTCACGTGCCCCGAAGCACTTTTTGTGATCAAACAAGTCACCTTAAAGTTTGTTTTTTCTGATTTCATCACGCATTCTCTTCCCATTACCAACTTCTTCAACTGCTTCTCGTTCTTTATTACTCTCCACATGTGTTCTGAAAGATGCGACGTGGACAATTATACAGCACAACAGCACCAACCTAACCAGAGTCAAAAGTGCCAATCGAGAGAACCCACACACTGTGTTTTTCAAATACTCTGCCAGCCTAGACCAGCTCCAGGCTACAATTAACCAAGCAGAGCACTGTGAACAGGAGCTTGCTTACTACTGCAAAAAGTCGAGGCTCTTAGATAAGCCAGGTGAGTAAAAGCACACAAATCTCTTTATGTTGCATAGTCCATTTTATTTTCCCATCTGTGAAGGATATTTATTTCTAAACAACACTCTGGCATTTTGCCACTACTTCTGAACTAATTCTGATATCTAGCACTCGGATTCCTTTAAGTTGCCAAGAGATATTTGAACAAGAAAAAACAAAAAAGTGAATTTAGGATGATCTTCTTTCAGAGAATTAAGTTCTCAAAGTTAATTTCTGTAGTAAGGCTTTTAAATGAACATAGAATGTTATTAACAGACCTCCTCTTGTTCTGTTTTCCAGGGATTTTTTAATTTTAATGAAGGAATTACTGAGGAAATATCTTCTTAAAGGAACACAAATTAATGCATAAATACCAGCAGAAGTTAATGTGCACAGTTAATGTGCATATTGTGAGTACTTGATAAAAAGCATCAATAACATTGAACTTCCACTGCCCAATATAAACATTCATAAAAAAGCTCAATAATTAAAATGTGGGTTATTGACAAAATTATAACTATTTGAAGAAAAGAGATCCTCTGATCTACTTAAATAAAACTGAATTTATGTAGTCTACTTAAATCTTAACTCTCACTGACAGAGCTGCTATTAAAAGACTATACTTGTAACATCCATTCTAAGTACTCCAAATAATGTGGAGGTAAAACATCATTGTTTAATGTTTTTTGAAAAGTGAAAGATAAGTGAAATTGTTTGACTCGTTCACCAGAAACTCTGAAACTGCTAAAATTGATTTCTTGGCATTCTTTCCTACTAAGTAGAAAGAAGGCTTCTGAATGAAGCACTCTCTGGTTCTGTCTCTAAACTCTTTTATTATGTATTCTTTCTCCCCAATTATACCAGGGATATCTCTGGACTTCTTAGGGTATTATTCACTCTTGGCAGGTTATCTGTTTCAAAGCACCTCCACAGCAAAAAAATGAACCTACTGCTTAAGATGTCCCACTAAGCCTTCCTTTTACCTGTGGGCTCCAATTAAACCTATGTTCAAAAGCCTGGTTTACTTCAAGCAGAGAGTTTCAAGATTTTTTTATTTTTTTTTATTTTTTTAATGTAAAGAGATTGCTCATGAGTAAGGTAAAATAATATGCTATGTATATTGTTATGCCATTTATACTATATATAGGTGCATATTTATAATATACACATAAATAGGCTAAAATAAATGTATTGAAATAGTGCAAGCAGTCAATTGTGATAAGTCATCTAAAATTTAGTTTTGAATGCTAGAAGTAAATAGACATAGGAAAGTTGTTTGAGAGTTCTATGGATTTTCTAAAATCATTCTTCATTTAAACACAGTTTAATCCCTCCAACTTCTGTTATTCATAATTTCCACTAGGAAATTTTGTACCTGACAGGTACAAAAGTTGATGATGGTTACATTGAATACTTTTTGGAATATACAGTCTACATAATAATTTTTAACTGGCTATATTTTAAGAATGCATTATAGTCAATCAGCCTGGAGAGCATTTGCAAATGATCTCATTAAAGAAGTCACTTGTTAATACATTTATGTGATCATTATGAAGAAATCTCTAACCATTTTAATTAATGGCTTACTTCTGTTTAGGCAGTACTTTCTGCCAAGGCAGGGAAAACAATCTGAGCTAATAAGTATGAACTCACAGCATTTCAATAAATACTCTCTCCTCACCCTGCTGTATGATCAAATAACTGAGACCAGCTCTTAAACACACCCCAATGTCCCTAGTGCAAGACTGGGAATGCTAATTCATGACTACAATATAAAGTACGCTGTTGAAGCAGCAGAAACGTTCTGCTTTTTACAGCCTTAGTTGTTGGAACCTTTTTAAAGTGTTGTCTGATAAATTATTTATAAACTCTCTCCGGGTTTTCTTCCTCCTGTGGTGGTTTGCAAACACAAACACTGATATTGGACATTGATGCCATTATGCGAGTTTTGACTTTTCCAAAAACTGCTCACGGTGTTTTTTGGCCTGCTGGGCCCACAGTTGTGTGGTAATGAATGCAGTCAATATGTTTACCATCTGAAAGATTGTCAGCCTAACAGAGGTCTTATCTAGCAGCCAGGTTTAATAAGCAGTGGCAGTTGGGAGTGAAGTTGAGACCAGAATAAATTCCGCCTTCTTCACGGCGGCCTGCTGCTGAAAACTTGGAGCTCTGACAAAATCAAAAAGAAGTGCCTCCATAAGAAATGCTATAATTTGACAGTGCCTGATTTCTTCTCAGGCCTTGACTTTCATGCATCTATCACCCTTCTTCTGGCTCATTTGAGGTGGTTTATCTTTATGCTTCACATCTTTTAGCTATCTTCTGTTCTGTAGGTATTTACTCTCTTGCTATGCTTGCTTGGCAGTATCTTTAGGTTTATTCTGCAGTACTGTGACATTAAGGAAACATCCAGTTTTATCACTTTACTGCAAACAGTGCTGACTGGATGCACCACAGAGAGAGGTAACAGTCCTGGGAAACCTCACTTCTGCTCACCACATATGTCACCTTGCTTATGGGAGCAGCTTTAACATTATTTCTGCTGTCTCTGAGTACATAAAGTCTGAATCTGCTGTTTATGACAACAGCTCTCTTTGGGTATTTCTAATTAACATCACTATTCAGCTGCTTAATGTTCATCACAGATGTGGGCAGTAGTACTCTGGAGTACTCTTGGTAGTGGGATGAGACCATTTATGTGTGTCTCTACATTCTGTTGCTGGTAGTTCCAAGATCTGAAATGGATCTTTACCTGGGAATATAAACTACCCTGATTTTTAGGATGATGGTATCTCCTCTTTCATGAACCATTTTAAAATGAATTACATAAATGGACTGCCTAGATAAATTATTCTAATATTATGCCTGACTGAGCTAGGTGCTGTGAGTTCCCTTTTCACTAATGCAAGCAAAAACCTGTGTCAACCATTTAATATGTGATAATGAAAAACTAAAGTTAATAATTACTTACCAAGTAAAGGTGGTAATTTTTTTTATATATTCCCACGGTCATTTAAAGGTTCTGGATTTGAGCAGGGATTTTTGTCTCCTTAACCTTTGGGAAAAGGTTAAAATGAGAGAAGTAGGAGACAAGACTGGACATTGATTTTCTCTAACATGCTTTTTAGATGGGATGCCACTGAGCTGGTGGATTGGAAGAACCAATGAAACTCATACTTACTGGGGAGGTTCACTGCCTGCTGTCCAAAAGTGTGCTTGTGGATTAGAGGGAAGCTGCATCGATTCCCAGCATTCCTGCAACTGTGATGCTGACAGGGATGAATGGTAACTTTTTACTGTTGCTTATTTTCTTTGTGAAAAGTAAATAAAGAAAATACACAGGCCTTGGTAAATTTATAATCCAGAGGCAGCTGGAAATCTAAGTTGCCATAGTGTCACCTGTTTCTTTACTATACAACATAATTTTTCACAAAATTATTGCTGTGTACATTAGGTATTATTGCTGATACTTTCACTCTGAATTCTGGGGAAAGTTTAATTTTGTACGGATACTTTCTAGTCTCTTAGTACATTACGGGTTATACATTAAGACATTAGCTCAGTCTTTAGCACAACTTCAGGTTTTTTTAGAATCCTGAAAGTAATTAAAGCTAAAATAAAGAGTTCTGGGGGAAAAAAGGTTATTTTTTAGCATAATTTTTAACATAATTTTTAGCTACACTTTTAATTTTAGACTTTTTACACCCTTTTTTCCATCTACAACTTAGATAATTAAAATTAACACCCTCATTATCTGCAAAGCAAAGGACTCGTGGAAGTGTATTCTAAGGGGATGGAAGGGTTTCAGGAATGTAGGTCTTCCAGTTGTGCTGGAAATTCTCTAATATCATTTATGATCCCATTCAAATAAGTAATATATAAGAGATGAGTTCTTGTTACAATGCCAAATCTGAACCTGACTATTCATTTAAGGGGGTTAGATACAACTTTTTCAACAATAGCTCCAGGGCAGTGCAGGACTTTATAAAGCAGAGGCACTTTTCAAGTGGAAGTTCTTCTGTAGAAGAAACTTTTAAGCTCTTAAATTTGGAAGTCTATTTAACTTATATAAATCAAATTCAGTGAGTATGTTACTAAATGCATTTTAAAAAGTGCATCAGCATCTGTTTCTTGAAAGTGGAAATATGTAAGGAAGGTGCTTATGAGCATCTCCATGTGTGCAAAATAAAGCAATACATAATTTTCTTCTCAAGCTAGATATCCACCTTTCCTTTAGAGGAGCAACTAGTGAATTTGGTTGGAAAATGCTTGTTCTCTCAGCATGAGCAGGTTCAGAAATGAAAATACAACAAAGGGTTAGTCAAAGAACAATTCTTTAAAAAGCTTCAAAAGTTTCTGGAGAAAAGAATTTGCATTTGCAGTAAAACTCACAGAGCGATATCTGCAATGCTTGTTCCAATAAAGAGATTAAAGAAACACACAGAACACTAAAAATTTCCCTTTGTTATACTTTACAAAAATAAAAACAGTATTTGATTCCCAACAGAAAGAGAAGTGTTAGAAGACGAGTGCATTTTGAAACAAAATTTGGAATAGTTGCTCGTACATGTCATATATTCTTGCTCAGTTTTGTCATTCATTTAATATATGCTCACATACATGGGTTAATTTATAATGGTAACATATTTGTAAATAAATAGGTCTTTATATATATGGATAATTTATATATATATTTTTATGTATGTATATATATATACTTTATATATATATACTATAGCCACTGTGAGTAAATTGCTGATGTTGATGAATGTATTACATTAAAAATATAATGACTCTGGGTTTATATTTCTGTTTGTATCCACTTTTGACATTTTTAAGTGGAGATTATCCCAGTGACTCCAGTGTTAAAGAGTTTATGTGTAAAGAGAGTTTTGTTTTGGTACTTGTTACCAGTCTTGGATTTGGTTCCCTAGAGACTACTGGTTATAATCATTTGACTAAAAACTGTTCATAGGAGCAAAAAACTAGTAGAAGTTATGCTTGTTTGAGATGCATTCTGAGCTTAGAAAACCAGTTACACCTTGTGGTTTTGGAAATATGGTTTCTATAGCTTGTTTTTATAGTGAAACCTATCTTGTTTCATAGATTGGATACATATTTAAATCTAAAACTTCTTGTTTGAATAGTCAAAATCTTTAAGTCTCTAGAAGTCTAGCATGAAAGAGATTATTTTTTTAAGAATCCGGTCCTAAAAATTTAAAAATTTTGCTGCTTTTCCTGTACACTCAGCATGACTTCTTACATTTCTATTTGATTTTTTAAACTTTTGTCAGGGCAAAAAAAAAAAGTTAAAAAAAGAAAGGTAGACTTGGAAATTATGTTAAGCCATTAAATAGTCCATAGTGATGAGGCAGTCAGTTATAAATATAATATGTCCTCAGCAACTTAAAGTTACTGACATGAGCAAATTCATTGACTTAGGCAGCCAGTCAGGTACCTATTTATGTCAAGAAGACTTTTCTCATGCTCAAGCAAACAAGCACAACCATAAAACTGCCCACTTCCTATGCAATTCTTTCAGTAATGCCAAATGAGCACAGTATCAATACCAAAGCACACATTTCTATTCAGGGTTGTTTGTACCAAACATACATTTATGCAGCACTTTTAAATTCGGAATATCTTTCCTTTTCCCCAACAATGCATCAGTGATACTGAAAAATTTATTGGAAACATTTAGGAGAGCTGTGGCTTTCATTTTTACCTTTTCAGGACTAATGACACTGGCTTCCTTTCCTACAAGGAGCATCTACCAGTAACTGAAATTGTGATCACAGACACTGACAGACCAAATTCTGAAGCAGCTTACAAACTGGGGCCTTTGCTTTGTCGTGGTGACAGTAAGTAACAACTGCAGAGTTTTCCTAAACAGTGTGTTTTGACTGCAATAAATTTTAAATGTTATTTGCTAGAAGCCTAGGAGAGATTTCTTCTGTAAAACTTTCACCCAGTTCTTTTTATAATCAGAAAAGGAAATGCCATAATCCCGTGCAAACCAGGGGAGGATTGTAAAAATGTATTTTCCGTGATGCACGTCGATAGTGAAGACAAAAAAAAATGTTATTATTATAATTTTCAAACAGATATTTTGGTTTTATGCAATATGAATTGAGTTATGAATAAAGTACTGCATGAAGGTGAGTTCATAACTGGCTCCCATATCCTGGGAACACACCCTTCACAAAACATTATGAATGTGTGCCTCCATCACGAAACATTATGAATATTTATGCAGCTAGGAAAATCATACTATGGGAGATTAATCCATCTGTTTTGTTTTTGTTTTTTTCTAATTTTTGTAAGCTTTATAAGTAGTTATACAGTAGAAGTAGATTTAGAAGCAGCAGCCCATATTCCTTTACCCTTAGCATAGTAACTACACACATTCTCCAACCCTATCACCCCATTCCATGCTCCCATATCAATTCTACTCCTGAATTCCATTAGAAAATGTTTATAAATTTACACAATAGCTCAGACTTTACATCCTGAATATATATATGTGGCAACCAGAAAAATACCATGAGTGAAGAAATAATTTAAAGGACGTGGCAGCTGGAACAAAACTGATACCTTATGAAAGATTTGCGATGATACTTCTGATTTTCATCGATTTCCACCTTCAATGGCAAAGAAAACATATTTGGTTTATGATCAATAATAAACTATTGAGTAGAGTTCTGTGTTTGCTGCTGTAATCAAAAGTTAGGAGAATATAATAATTAATGGTAATGCAGCGAATACCTTGAAAAAAGAGGAATAGTTTTAATTGTTTAGTAACTGCAGCAATAATGCAACTTTTCTGCCACCATATCATAGAGATAGTAAGAGATGATGTATTTGGGGAGATAAGGACAAACTAAGAAAACAACACAGAATTTCTGAAGGAAAACAGATGTAAAATCATAGAATTTTGACATAAAAACAAAGTACAATCTGTTGAGAGGAATTATATGAGCATATATAATAAAATATATAAATATGTTATCATATAATTTGTTACATATTGCATCACTTGTCTCTTATATCATGTATATTAATAATAATATATTAATCATATTATGAAATGATCATACTCTATAATTATTTAATAGCATGATATACATAGTCCAGAGAAGGGCAATGAAGGTGGTAGAAGGTCTAGAGGTAAGTCCCATGAGGAGCAGCTGAGGGAGCTGGGGTTGTTTAGCCTGGAAAAAAGGAGGCTCAGGGGAGACCTCATTACTCTCTACAACTCCCTGACAGGAGGGTGTAACCAGGTGTGGGTTTACCTCTTCTCCCAGGTGGCCTCTTCTTCCAGGCAACCAGTGACATATAAATGTAATATTTATACTGTATTAAAATATCTTAATATATTTCCTCATATATAATTATATATTGCATATTACAATAAATACACTGTGTATATGATTTACTGGATTTTTTCCCAAAAGTCTTTGTGTATCGGCAGTAGATTTTATAATGAACATTTTCTTTGATGTTCAGTTTTATAGTAAATGTAAAAAGCTGTGACTTGCAGTAGTTTCTGAGTTCTACATGTTAAATGCAGAACTAGACAAAACTGATGAATCTAAACCCTCTTGCCAGACCAGTCCTTCTAGCAGCAATTTGAAGCTGCAGGAAGAAAGCAAATCATTATTAAGATTTTTTAAATTTTTTTGCTAACTTGAGGTTGCAGACACCCATGGGGGTCTAATTAAATGTACTTTTAATGACATTTACCTTTAGATAGGTGAAGAATGCAAAAAGAGGTCTAGTAGCAAATACTCATTTTTCAGAAGTGTTGTCAAACAAGGTGGAATAGGTATTCTTGGATTCACAGTGTGATTCAAGTACTCTCCAGAGAGATTATTGCTTATTTTTCTTATATCACTCTCTTAAACTAAATTGTACAATTGTACTTCACAGGTGAAATCCTTTATTAAACATGTTTTTATCCTATCTGACAGACATAAGTTCTTCAGAATAACTGATTAGCATACCATGGGGGAGAAGATTAAATGATTCAAAATTAAAAGATCATAAATTCTCATTTTATCAATAATCTACTCCTTGTAGGACATTTGCTTAGAGAATTTTCTTAAAATGTGCACTCCCCTAAGTTTCCAAGTTAGAGTCACTTATTTAGGTACTTCTGAAAAGTCATGTGCCATAACTTGAATGCAGTCCAGAAGAAGTTGCCTGTTTGTCATTGCACATTTTTTATTTTCATTCTTTTATTTAACATTCCATTACTGTATCTGGCTTCTTTATTTTTGGTTTTATGGACTGATCTCTTCATTTAATTATGTTACATACTGATAGAAAACTATGCCATATTTGGTACAGCAAGGCAGGAAAGGGTGGCCTTCTATAAGAAAAACAGCAAAAGCAATACAAGTATAGTTTATTTTATAAAGTTATAAAAGTTACATTCAGATGTTAGTGATTTTTTTTCTCAACATTTGTGATAACGTTTGCTAACTGTATTTATAGTGTGCCAATGTGAAATGAAAGTAGGAAAGATATTCTGGAAGAATATGGCCATTTAAAGAAACAGTCAATAGTGACACAGCACCACACAGATGAGTAGCACTTATGCATTTCTGTCATCTTTAAAATATATTACTGATTCATTAAGGATTCATTTCTGCAATCCCTTTTCTGCTGTACCATACAATATGATTAATTAATTAATTGTATGGCAGGACTGCTGGTGTCAGACTGAAAAATATATCTAAATATAATGGAAGTTAAGATTCACATTACTGTATATCAACTGAGCAGGGTAATAGGAAAGGTTTTAAAGCCTCTGAGGATGAAAGAAGCCTTTGGTACCTTAATATACAGAAATCCTAGGGTCTTCATGAAAAAAAGAAAGAGTTATCTTCGTTATTTCTGTCATTTTTCAAGAAAAACCCAGATGTTGATTAAATTCCCATAGAGTTAGTTAGTATGAGTAGACATGCAAAAAAACAACTTCTGTGTTGGGTGTTTTTTGTTCTTGTTGTTTTCATTACAAGAACTGAGTGGACATAGTCTGATTTATTGCTACAAATTTTCAGTAAGTATAAATAAATAAATATATGAATAAATAAATATATAAATAAACTAAAAACAATGAAGGAAAGCTACTGTGTCAAAATTATGTGTAATAAATGGGTAGTTATACTCTGTCAGCATCAGACTGATTCTTGGGCCCAAAATAAAATTGGTGATATGGATCTGAATAAATAAGGATAGTACAACAAAAGGTAAGGATAATGTATCATTCAGCATGACTTTATATTAAATAAAGATAAAGATAAAGATAAAGATAAAGATAAAGATAAAGATAAAGATAAAGATAAAGATAAAGATAAAGATAAAGATAAGATAAAGATAAAGATAATACCGGTGAGTGAGACTCATGGACTCTAGTAAGGTTTAGATGGAGTATTTTATACTTGGTTGAATTACAAAAATAAAGGAAATTAAGAAATTCAGCTGCAAAATGACAGCTCAAGGATGTAAATGCAAGCAGATAATCCATTCAACATGAGTTCTCAGTGTGGCATTTAAATGAAAAAAAAAAAAAACAACTAATGTGAGCTTTGGATATAACAACAACTAACTGCATCAACCAGTCATAAGTGATATTGTAGTTAAAGCAACAAAGTAAGTTTCTAAGTTTAGAAAAAAAAAATCTGTTTCATCTCTCTGCGGTAGCCTGAGAAATTAGGGCATGTCTAACTCTGAATAGCATAAGTATTCACTTCTTCCTCTTATTTAGCTTTCCATTATTATTTGTTATTAGTTTATATTTGTCCTAACCTCAGTCTAATCAACAATATTTTGATCCTCTTTGCAGCTTCCTGAATAATCAAGTCTATGATTAGAGCTTTGCAACATATAAAGAAAATGTTAGGTTAAAGAAGTTGAGATACATGTTTCTAGTGAAAGCCTCTTAATCTCTTTGCTGAGCTTGGGCAAAATCTGAGGTGATGTGTTCAACTTAAATGGAATTTCGTAGAAGAAGAAATTTCAAATAATGTTGTTGAAAGCAGGAGATAAAATCAGAAAATTATCCAGTGGTTGGGATTTGAAGCTAGGCCAATGGACAGAGTGTGTGTGAATACATATATATACACAAATTGTCAGTTAGGGCATTTATGAATTTTCTGTAAATAACAGTTTTTAATTTAATCAAAATTAAATTTTTATTTAATGGCATATCAGAGGTTGAACTTAATTGCAGTTTTCCCTTCTGGTATTTTAATCTAGGCTGCAGTGGAGCTGGAAGTAGTTATACAGATGGGGCAGTTAACTCCACAAACTCTCAGAGGTAAACAGTTGCCAGCTGGTCAGACTTCCTGAAGTTAGGAGGAAAGCTTTAGAAGAAGCAATTTTTGCACACTTCTCCACAATTTTGGCCTCCTCTCTGCTGTGCTGGATAAAGGGAAATTTTTGCATTTAGCAAAACTGAAAACAAATAGATGTAACTTAATGATGACCTTCCTGCTTGGTTTTGAGTGGGAATAAAGCAAAACACTCCCTCACTTTTCCACACACAAAACAAAACAGTGCCAAATGCAAACAAAAAACCAGACAAAAACCCCCTATTATAATTCAAATAATGAATGATCACATCATAATTTAAAGGTCAGTTTAAGAGGCCAGATGGGGAGGAACAGACCAAAGTCAAACATGCAAAATCCTAATCATCTACTGGTTGCTTAACTAGGATTAGATAATCCAGTGGTGTAGATAGGATAAACTAGTAGGATCTGCAATCTGCAATGGACACCTTTTCTACAGTAATAAGCTTCCTTATTCCTGCCACTGTGCACACATCCGATCACAGTGACATTCCAATGAGATTCAAAGGTCCTGAAGATGCACCAGAGGCTAGAAACCGGCTCTTAGAGGAAAGAGCACAGTCTGCTGGAAGCTTTCTGAGTACCTTTCAAGTGTTTCACCAAATCCCTCTAAGGAGGAGAATATGGGAAAGATGCAAGGCATGTTAAATGTCACCTCCACAAAGCCTACAGCTGTTTTGAGGACACCACTGGCATCTCCAGATTAACAGCAACGTGCCTTAGCTGTGTCAGTACCTAAGAGATGGGTAGTATTTTGTGTGTCATGTCCCTTAGAGACTATTTCTATTTGGGGGAGATGAAAAGGTAGTGGAAAAAAAAGCTGTGTACCAAAAATATCGCTCAGGCCATAAGATCTTTATTTTCTCTCCTCAACACTCACCATCCCTGCTGGAATTTTGAGAGACACTGGTATTGTAACATGAAAATATCTAATTTATCTGTCTTCTTCTTATTTGCCCCTTTTTTCACTTTACAGTTTCAAGTCGGTAAAATGAGGTGATATATGCTAAAAAATGAAATAATTTTTTTCATTATATATATGCTTATATATCATTTATAACAAACAGGATCTTCTTTTTTTACTCATAGGGAGACTGCAGTCTTACTGCTTGGATAAAATGCTAAATATTATTGATTTCCTAACCACATGGTGTTTGGCAGTTCCAGAAAACTAAATAAGAGACTGAACCAGGTACCATAAAGAGAAGAAATTCTTTTCCCAACTTGATTTATGACAGCATAAGTTACTTTTTAATATATTTTTCCTAGATCTATATTTAACCTGCTTTATAGATACAATATCTTAACATTCAAAATTATGTAATTCTCAGAGCTTAGAAAAATAACATCTGTATAAGACAGGACAGTAAATTAAGTGAGGAAAAATAAAACTTCCTATTCCTGCCCTCCCCCAAAGACTCCGTTCTGATTTACAAAGATCATTCAAATGCTTCATTTGACTTAGAAAGTAATATAGCTTAATAAAGAAATACAAATACACCTGTAAGAATTCAGCAACTATAACCTTAAGTAAAGATTATGTACTTATTAGAGGAGGGCGTTTTTAGAGATTTTACATAAACTTTTTAATAATAACAGAATCTAGCAAATTATGATTGAATGCTAGCATACAGATAAATCAAACCAGGCAAATATCTGTTCTTGATATTACAAACCTTTTTTGATTAAAACTGACTTAATCTTATAAGTAAGAATGTATATGAATGTCTAAATTGCAGGCAACTAAAGAAAAAGATTCCTTTGTAATTATTTTAATTCCTTCTACAGTAATTACTAGGATATACGTCCTACATTTTTTGTGATATCTGAAGTAAAACTTCACTGGGCTACAGGGATAACATCACTCTTTTCTCATTATGTGAGAAAATATATACGAAAAATCTCATTGTTTTAGTATATACTGGCTAATCATAGAATTGTCAAGCAAAAGACCTTTGAGATCATAAAGTCCAACTGTGATGTTCACCATTATGTTCACCACTAAGCCATGTCCTCAAATGCCATATCCACACATTTTTTGAACACTTCCATGCATGGTGAGTCCACCACTTCCCTGGGAAATCTGTTCCTAGGCTTTACAACTCTTCCAGTGAAAACAATTCCGTCATATCTAAAGTTGAGGCCGTTTCCTCTCATCCTGTCACTTGTTGCCTGGGAGGAGAGACTGGAAACTGCCTCACTACAAACCACTTTCAGGTAGTTGAAGGGAGTGATAAGGTCCCTCCTGAGCCTCCTTTTCTCCAACAACCCAAAACAACCCCAGCTCCTCAGCTGCTACTACTGTAATGTAGGTTAGTACTTCATTCAGAGCTGTTGTATTTGCTCCATGAAAGGATACATCAGGCCAGAATCGGAATTCCTAGCTGAGATGTGATTTCTTTTGTTTCCTATTAACTCAGGCTTTTGGCTGCCTGAACTGAGCATCTTTATTCTAATTTTTCCAAGTACTCCTACTTTTTGTTTTATAGAGTAACCAGGAAGCTTCTGTGGGTATCAGACTCATCTTAGACCTGGGCTCTTTCCTCTGTTTGTTGGTTATAAAATTTATCCTAGCAATGTTAGATAACACTGTATCTATCAATCTTTCATTTTGACAACCAGGAACATTTTGGAATTCAGCTTCCTTCAACACGGAGACATCCTACCTGCATTTCCCCACCTTCCACGGAGAGCTCAGTGCAGATGTCTCATTTTTCTTTAAAACTACTGCTTCCTCAGGAGTGTTTTTAGAGAACCTGGGAATTCAAGACTTCATAAGGATAGAGTTATACTGTAAGTAACACGACTGTTGGTGGTTACTGTTGTTATTATTATTATTATTGCTTTCAGTTTGATTAAATTAGAATTAACTTAAAGGGAGAGTATTTCAAAACTGTTCTCTGGCTTTATTACTTCTACTACTACTACTGGATCTTTATCATTATCCAAAAAAACTCCAGCACTGACACTATAATTCAAAGATATTTTCTGTCTCAGAGGTTTCTTAGTCTAAGAGTACAGCAGTCAGCCCCTGAATGCTCTGACTGTTCCTACCTCCCACGTTCACTGCATCCCTGCCGCCAGATTCTCTCCCTCCAAATTTTCAAGCCAGGTTTTATTATATGCAGCTGCTGGAAGATTCACTCAGTCACAATATGCCACCTTCTGTGGCACAGTGTCCTAATCTAGTGGCACTTTCTGATTATTTTCTTTTTTTCAATGTCATTTCATTTTATTTGTACATTCCCAAATCCTTATACTTCCACATACAAGTAAATTTTTGTTGCATGAGAAAAAGAAATATCCCACTAAATCCACTAAGATGACCCATGTGCAATGAAACCTTTATCTTAGTTGACTCAATATTTTGGTTTTATTTAAAAGGGAGAATATTTAAAAGATTGAAGCGTTGTTTCATAAAGCTTTGGATTAATTTGAAATGTGCCATTAGCTGAAAAGTCTTGTACTTGCAGGGTGACTCTGAGAGTTCTTTAGACAGTTCCTCAATTGTTTTTACATATCCATTTTGTTATCAGATTCAAGTGTTTTCCAGAGAAGAGTACAAATAAATATGTAAGTTATATTGCAAAATATTACCATAGAAACATTATTGATTTTTTCATTAAGAAGTAAAATGTCCTGCTTGCTTGTTTTTTTATCCATGTTAATGTCTTACGTTAATGAAACAAACAGGCAAACACTTTGTCTTCTTCTGTTGGTAGCATAACTGTAGAATATTGTGTAATGTTTAATCAATTTATTTTGCATTATCTCAAATGATAGTGTTATATTTGAAAACTACCCTGTTTTCAGCGTTGTTTTTGTCATGTTTATCAAGAGTATGAACTGCCTTCTGTTAAAGTTCTGTGAATGGTTTAAAGGAGATCAGCATTATAATCTCAGCATCATGCAATACCGAAAATTGGGCTGGGTCAGCACTTCAGTGCAGACTCCCTGAAGCAATGATGATATTCTTGTCTGACAAATGACTTTCCATCTTCAAAATAAACAGTTAAATCATGGAAGCATTAAAGGAATCCTTCTGAAAACTAAATTTATTCAGACATTTGGCAAAAGACCGTAAGTCTTTCTTCAGAATAATAATGTAATAATATGGACAAGCTCATGTCACTTGTCCCATCCATTCATAAGCATCCAAACTACTGTATAATTATGGGTTTTATATGACTTGTGAGTAGTGAGGCATGACAGAAAGCAAAAGGCTGAACTGATCTATATTTTCAGCATTTATAAAGCAAAGTTATCTCATTGTATAGCATGTAGAGATACTCCTTCACTTCCATAAACACCCTAATTTGTTGAGTAGACATGTCATAGGTAACTCACAGGTAGGATTGTTTGTATTGGAGCCGGAATTATCTGTTTTTACTGAGGGAAATATCGGTCAGAAATGAGCAATATACATTTCCATCACAAATCCCTTTATCAAAAAAAAAAAAGAAAAAACCACATTAAACATTTCATATTGTATGGGATCATTTAGATTTCATCATCATATACTCCTTTATAATAGATGTGAGTGAAAATCACGAACCTACACTTGATGTTGCTTTAATAAGTTAATGTCTTTCATTTGTGTAACAATAAATAACAATAATGTAAATGTCAGGTATCACTGCTTAAGATGATGATGTGAGAAAATATTTAAAACTCATTATGTCATTAACATTTGACATTCAGCATTTAGGAACACCTTTCTTAACCTTTTATTGATCTCAAACTTTATATCTAATTCTTTTATTTATGAAGTAATGACCTCTAGACCTTGAAGCCTAACTTTGCAAACAAAAAAGGGTCAGATCAAGATCTCAATAGGAATTGTGAAGCTTAGTGATGTTCATTTGGTTTTATGAAGTCAAAAAGACCGCAGTGTGTTGTGTACATATTCTAGAACACTGTTGTAAGAATGGAGGTTGCATCCTAACTGTATTTTAAAAGAGAGAGTAAGGGAATTGTCTCAAAGAAGATACTTGATCTCTTTTTTTTTCTTTTCACTGAATTATAAAAAGCTATTTTTTCCTGATTTCCTGTAATCTTCTGCAGAAAAAAGTGGTTGAAAACAAAAAGGCCAACTCAGTTCTGAATAGTATGCTCTACTAAATACTTGTATGACCAGAGGTTATGTGCTCTAGACAAAGGTCTCAGTGTTCTATACTGAATGTTTATCGAGAGTTTATTTCCAATGAGTTAAACAAATTTAATGAGAGTTGGGAACACTGGTGTATTGATTTGGTTGGGCTTCAGCAGTTGCTTTGGGAATAGTTCAGAAGAGTCCAATATGCAACTGCTGATGGCCTGTGTGTGCCCAAATTAGTAACCTTTTCCCTGGGATGAGTGGAATTCAGTTGTTTCCTTTACAGAAAGTGCTTGGATTTTGCATTCTGTTGCATTATTGCTTTGTAACCACTTTCTGCTTCTGCACAGGATGTCACACCCAATGCTCTGAATGGTTTCTCTGTGGCTGTGCTCCCTGTGAGTTGTTTCAGCCACAGTTCCCCACTGACCACTCCCCATGATTGCCATCGACCACCTCTTCCGCTCCACTTTGCCAATCTATAGCTGTGCTCTGCCTATGTTTGAATGCATCAGGGTCACAAGAGTCCCTGCAATGCTTGGGTAATTTTTGAGTAACACCAGGGGGTAGGTAGGGCCCAAAAAGTATTTTTGTTGTCAGACTAGAACTCCTGGATGCATCCTCTTCCGCTGCCCAAGAAACAACCAAAGTGCTCTTTGCCCATGTCCTTTGTTGCAAAATGACCAATTCTAGAACCCAGACAACATCCTTCCACATCCTGTGGCCTACTTTCCACAGGTGGTTTCATCACAGCTCTTATAAATCCAAAATTCCTTTCAAATTTGCAGTGTAGTTGCTTTTAGCAAGAAACACCTAAAATGTTATAGAAGGTTAGGTGATTATATTTTTCACTTTTTGTGATGTATTCTCGTTAGTGTTCAGATACTACAGTGTATGACCATATGGTCATCCTTGTTATTTGTGCCTTCCTCTGTGGAACTTCTGCTATTAATTCCCTTTTTTTTCAAGATTATATTAATTTTTTTTTTAGTGGTACTAACATAATTCGTCATTTCAGTGGTTATTTCAAAAAATCTTTATTGTGTGTTTTGTTACCTTTAAAATCTAAACAGTAACATTATTTATCAGATTCTGATATGCTATTTAATAGGCACATTCGGTGAGTTCAAAGCAGAATTTGTGTTTTCAGGCTTCACTCCAACAGTGTCCAGAGGATTACAAAGACCTCCCTGCAGAAGGTAACATTCAGCAGAAATTCTCTTTAGCCAGTCACATGGAGTTTCTGTTGCTTTTGTTCTCCTACTGTGTGGTTGGTTTGTTGTTGTTTTTTTTTTCTTTTATCCCTCAGTAAAGGGAGACTGAGCTCTCAATTTTGTTTGAATAAAACAAATTTATCCTAAAATTCATTTTACCAAGGAACTGGTTTTAGACATCACTTATTTCATATTATTGGTTTAAACTGTCGATTTTTAAGCAGAAAAGGTCATTTATTACAGAAGTCTTTCTGTTTAAAAATTGCACATTATGCTTTATTTTATTTGATAACTGAAATGGTTTATGTATTTATCATTTTACTTTTCTCTCTCAGGTTCAACTGTTATAGAAAAATACTTTATAACAACAAGATTCAGGGCTTAAGGGATTGCAAACATGTGGCATTACTCAGTCTAAAGGTTGGCCAAAGTGGATCTAAATGTTATGAAACGTCTAATCTACTTTTAAAAGCTGAAAAGAAAAAACTATTTTATTGAATGTTTTATTCTAATTCAGTAAATTCCTCCTTAAAATGTTGTTTGAAGCTGATCTATTTCCCTTGACTACTTCTATTTGTTTTGCTTTTCTATCAGAATTCAATGTTGTAAATGGCAACCTGTTTTTTTGGATTCATGGAATCTTCTCAGACCTATAATCCTGTAATGAAATCCTAAATAATTCAAAATTATGCCAATCCCTTGTTTAGAGATTACTTGTTTTTATACACAATTGTCCTTGGACATGTGAAAGAAAAAGTTTCAGAGAGAATATTCTCAATTTTCAGATCGTCAGTTTCTGGCATGTTCCTCATCTTGTTATTTTGACCTGCAAAGATTGAGTTGTTATTTTCTAAGCAAACTATAAAACTGTGTAACATGAAAGTTACTTAGAGAAAGATTAAATTTAAATCACTGTATGCATAGTCCTATAAATGACATTAAAATTTGGCCTCTGATATTTGCAGAGACTGTGTGAATAAATAACAAAGGCAAATAGACAGTAGAAGACGCTTGGATGGATTACAGTGGTGATAATTTAAATATAATTAACAATGGCAATCAGTTAACAATCTAATATTATGTTATCCTGTATTAACAGTTGCGCTTTCTGAAAACTTTTTGGGAAGTAATTGGCCATCGACTGGAGTGATTATTTTTGTCAAATAATTTGACAAATTCAAGTGAAGCGATATACATCCATCTCTTGTACCCATAGAGCTGACAATATAAAAACTGTTGCAAGTTGTCTGTGTTGTTTTATTCAGATAGTGTTCATGTGAATGATTGGAATACACAAGAGATACATTTCATCCAAACTGAAAAAATAGCAAAGCTAGCACATCTCACTGCTTCTTGACTGCTCTGCTCTCTTGGGGCCCACAAACAGATTACTTTCCATGCTGTGGATAAGTCGTTGCTCTCACTGTCAGTGAATGTGAAGAGTGAACTGCAGTCCTCCAAAGTAAACTTTTCCTCAGAATCAGTCTTAGCCCATGAAATAGTAGGCTAGACCTTAAAGTAGCTTCCTCTGCTACTTAGTGATTTTCTGACCTGATTAACTATGAAATAATCCAAAAGTCCATTATTGCTATGCCCTTTCCAGCTCCATCTGAAGTGATTTTTTCATTTGACGTTGGGAACGGACCCAGCGAAGTCACGGTGCAGTCACCCACTGCCCTAAACGACAACCAGTGGCATTATGTGAAGGCTGAAAGGAACGTCAAAGAGGCCTCCTTACAGATAGATCAGCTCCCTCAGAGATCCCACAGTGCTCCTCCTGATGGACACATCCGCCTGCAGCTCAACAGCCAGCTTTTTGTAGGTAGGCACTCTACTTGAATATTTCCTAGCTATCATCATAAAAATAATGGGGATGGGGCAGGGGAAGAAAAACAAATGGCAACCAGTTCTTTTTGAAAACAATTTGTATGATGACATATGGTTTTAAGTTGTGCCAGAGGAGGTTTAGGTTGGATATTAGAAAAAATTTCTTTCCAGAGAGGGTAATCAGACATTGGAATGGGCTGCCCAGGGAAGTGGTGGATTCTCCGTCCCTGGAGGTTTTTAAGACAAGACTGGATGTGGCATCAGTGCCATGGTCTGGGAACCACAGAGGGGTTGGATCAAGGGTTGGACCTGATGATCTCAGAGGTCCCTTCCAACCCAGCTGATTCTGTGATTCTATGAGAGCATTTGTGAAAAATCAATAGTGTTGTGCTATTTTGAGGTTACAATTTGAGTGCCTTAGCCAATAGTTACTGATGGACAGGATTTCAAATGGAGTTTGCTTCCTTTGAGGTTTTTTTGAAGGACAATCCAAGGGCCTAGGTTTGCACCATTTTTTGATGTCTCCAGGGGTGATATACCCAGTAAGAAAACATATTGTCACATTGCCTAGAATGGGCACACAAAAAGGGGGGGGGATGGGAGCAGGGATTTGCAGTATTTTCATGGTGCCAGTCTCCACACATGTTCTCAGCTTAGCCTCCTGTTCCTTATTTTCCTCTAGACCAGCACAGCCCAAAAGCTACTCTTCAGATCTATGATGCAAGTTTTATTGTTTCCTTCTCTATACTGTTAAGTAGGAAGTGAAACATAATGTCTTAAAAATTAATTGAGGAATAATACCATACATTTGTTAGAAGGACAGTTTTTGCTACCACTGTTGTTTTAAAAAACTAGCATTTTCCACTTTGGCATCTAAATCAGGGTTACAACATCACAGCTGGAAAAGCATTTGTCTTTTTTAACCAGGGCTTCCACAAACACAGCTCTCTCACTGTAGGATGGTAATCTCCTGAAGAAAGATGTGCTGTTTCTATAATTTCAAGGAAATTCTGTTGTCTCTCTTCATCCATAACTTCTCACATTGATATACGACATTGAGGGATTTAGATAAAATGCAGGAAAAGAAGAAATGGAGTAAAAAAGAATTAATTAATATTTTTTTTAGTTATTACAAGAAGCTATGTAGAGGTATTTGTCATATACATGATAGTGTTCTTACTCTAATATTGCCTTATTATGAATTTATAATTTTCTGATGTATATGTATGGTGTACATTATAGGAGCATGTAAAGTTGGTTCTACTTTTTATTAAGATCTGCTGTGAGAAAATCATACTAAATTAACATAAGTTTTATTTGGTGTGTGTTGGGCAGGAATGCACTGAAGGTGAATAGTGTTGTTAAACTGTAGCTACAAAAACTGTGAATCCTTAGGAAAAATTAAATGGAGAGGAAAGTCTTGTGTGCTCTGATCAGAATTCTGACCTGTGCCTCAAAAGGCATCAAGGGTAGAAGATGGTGCTATCAAGTCTGAACACTTTCTCTAAATATTTTGATGATGTGTTGGTCTCCAATCCTTCTAAACCTGCTCCCAAACAATCTAGTATTATGTTATCCTGTATTAACAGTTGCGCTTTCTGAAAACTTTTTGGGAAGTAATTGGCCATTGACTGGAGTGATTGCTTTATTGACAAATTTGACATTATTTGTCAAATAATTTGACAAATTATTGACAAATAAAATTTGACAAATTTGACAAATTATTTGTCAAATAATTTGACAAATTCAAGTGAAGCGATATACATCCATCTCCTGTACACATAGAGCTGACAATATAAAAACTGTTGCAAGTTGTCTGTGTTGTTTTATTCAGATAGTGCTCATGTGAATGATTGGAATACACAATTCTTTCCTGTCCTCTCCTGTCCTGTCCTGTCCTCTCCTTTCCTCTCCACTCCCTTTAAAAATAAAGCCTGAAAGAAAAAAAAACCACATACTTTCTGGACCATACTCCTTTGTGAATTTATAGAAGTGTGTATCATTGCTTGCTATCTTACTGTAAAATATTCTTGTTTCTCATTAAATCTTCAAGGGCTCACAGTAATTACTTGAAAAAAACCAAATCAAATATGCTTTTAAAGCTACTTAGAAATATTTTCACATGCATAGGCTTGTATCTTGAAAATGCTGCTCAGAGGCTGTAAAACATAACGAAGTTTTTACGCATCAATTTTTAAAGTTTTAAAAGCTCTTATGAATTTATTTTCAGGGGGAACAGCCTCCAGGCAGAAAGGATTTTTGGGATGCATTCGTTCATTACAGTTGAATGGAATGGCCCTCGATCTGGAAGAGAGAGCGAAGATAACACCAGGAGTTGAACCAGGCTGTCCTGGACACTGTAGCAGCTATGGTAACCTGTGTCATAATGGTGGAAAATGCAGAGAGAAACACAGTGGATTCTCCTGTGACTGCACTTTCTCTGCCTATGCTGGTCCATTCTGTAAGAAAGGCAAGCGTGTCTTTTAGCTTTATCAATTATTGAAAACAGGACCGTGCAGTTCGGATCAAGATCTTTACAGCCCTATAAAGATATGTTTAAATGCTTGAAAAATACTCAATTTATATAATGTAGATAAATATTCAGTTAAATTTGTTGAATATCTGTAACTTGTGCTAAACACTGTTCTTCCAGAGTTAACTTCAACATACACTATTTAAGCAGGAAACCTGAGAGAATCAGCATTTTCATGCAACTCCTCTGATTCTTTGATGGTATAGCAAATCTAGGAACTATATTGTAAAACATTTGGATTTATGTCTTTCAAATATTAATCTCAAAACTAAGAGTGAATTTGGAAAACAAGCCAAGTAGCAGAAGAACCTAAATGTACTTTTTGCTATAATTTCAAGGAAAGTCTGTTGTCTCTCTTCACCCACAACTTCTTACATTGATATATGACATTGAGGGATTTAGATAAAATGCGAGAAAAGAAGAAATGGAGTAAAAAAGAATTAATTAATATTTTTTTTTAGTTATTACAAAAAGCTATGTAGAGGTATTTGTCATATACATGAGATATATATATATATATATATAAAAAGTGAGATCTTTGCAAAATTTTACTTGCTTCCTCCATGTATTAAATGCATTCTGCAAAATACTAAGCAGCTTATATGCCACAACAACATGTTCCCCTAAATTAGTGAGAGGAACATATGCCCTGACATCACTGCAACCACAAAATGAGGGAGTCATGTGACATCCATAAGAAGATCATAACCTAGTTTGTATTTTCCTTTTTTAGTTTTTCCCACCTAACCAGTTTCTTTTCCCACATCCATGTTTCTGATGTGGCCAGGTGTAATCTACATGTTAGGATTCAAATTGCTGCACCTTTTTCTCTGTAGGAGCAGTACACATATAAGCCATAATATATGGGGCGTCAGGACTAGGATGAACACTAGACAAACAAAATAGACAAAAAATTGCTCTTCATGAAACAGATATTTAAGACACATGTAAATGAATTTTGATCTAGCTGAGGTTGGTTCTTATGTTTCTCTGTAATTCTAATGCTCCATCCATTTATTTTTTTTTTCATTTTTGTTGCTATAGTCGAGAAAGCGTTTTATTTCATTCTGCGGCAGAAAGAAAACAAAAGGAAGCACTTTAGTATTACTGTGCATGAAATTTAAATATTTAATCACATTTTGTTTCAGAGATCTCTGCCTATTTTGGGACTGGTGCTTCTGTGACGTACAACTTTCAGGAATACTACACGTTGACTAAAAATTCCAGTTCTCATGCTTCTTCTTTCTATGCTGACATGACACTGAACAGGGAAACAATTACATTTGCCTTTCGAACAACAAGGACCCCAAGCTTGCTGCTTTATGTCAGCTCCTTCTACAAGGAATATCTCTCAGTCATTCTCACCAGAAACGGTGAGTGTTCGGCTGTCAGGAGACATTAATGAATATCCACAGAAAGGGCTGCAAGGAGGACCCAGGAAACTCCAGGCCTGTCAGCCTGACCTCAGTGCCTGGCAAGGTTATGGAGCAGATCATCCTCAGTGCAATCACACAGCACCTGCAGGATGGACGGGATCAGACCCAGCCAGCACGGGTTTAGGAGGGGCAGGTCCTGTCTGACCAACTTGATCTCCTTTTATGATCAGGTGACCCGCCTGGTGGATGAGGGGAAGGCTGTGGTTGTGTCTGTCTGGACTTTAGCAAAGCCTTTGGCACTGTCTCCCACAGCATTCTCCTGGAAAAGCTGCAGCCACAGCTTGGACAGGAACACTCTGTGCTGGGTTAGGAACTGGCTGGAGGGCCCAGAGAGTGGTGGGGATGGAGCTGCATCCAGTTGGGATCCGGTCACCAGTGGTGTCCCCAGGGATCAGTGTTGGGCCCAGTCCTGTTTAATGTCTTTACTGATGATTTAGATGAGGGGATTGAGTCCATCATCAGAAAATTTGCAGATGACACCAAGCTGGGGGGAGTGTTGATCAGCTGGAGGGCAGGAGGGCTCTGCAGAGGGACCTGGACAGGCTGGAGAGTTGGGCTGATTCCAATGGGATGAGGTTCAACCAGGCCAAGTGCCGGGTCCTGCCCTTTGGCCACAACAACCCCCTGCAGCCCCACGGGCTGGGGCAGAGTGGCTGGAGAGCAGCCAGGCAGGAAGGGAGCTGGGAGTGGGGATGGACAGGGAGCTGAACAGGAGCCAGAGTGTGCCCAGGGGGACAAGAAGGCCAATGGATCCTGGCCTGGCTCAGGAACAGTGTGGCCAACAGGTCCAGGGAAGTGATTCTTGCCCTGGACTCAGCACTGGTGAGGCCACCCCTGGAGTGCTGTGTCCAGTTCTGGGCCCTCAGCTCAGGAAGGACATTGAGGGGCTGGAGCAGGTCCAGAGGAGAGCAACAAGGCTGGGGAAGGGACTGGAGCACAAGTGCTGTGAGGAGAGGCTGAGGGAGCTGGGGTGGCTCAGCCTGGAGAAGAGGAGGCTCAGGGGAGACCTCCTCACTCTCTGCAACTCCCTGACAGGAGGGGGGAGCCAGGGGGGGGTTGGTCTCTTTTCCCAGGCAACTCTCAGCAAGACAAGAGGGCTGGGTCTTGAGCTGTGCCAGGGGAGGTTTAGGTTAAATATTAGAAAGAATTTCTTTGCAGAGAGGGTGCTCAGCCATTGGAATGGGCTGCCCAGGGAAGTGGTGGATTCTCTGTCCCTGGAGGTTTTTAAGATGAGACTGGATGTGGCATCAGTGCCATGGGCTGGGAACCAAGGCAGACCAAGGGTTGGACTTGATGATCTCAGAGGTTCCTTCCAACCCAACTGATTCTATGATTCTATGATAACTGTCAACTCACTTTCACCCGTATTTCCAGAACCGAAACAAAAACTCTTTATTATCCTGTTGCTGCTTTAGATGGAATTTTTATCTTTTCTCTTGCATCGAGTGATTCTTTCCATATGAAAACATTCCTCCTACTGTAATTTCAACTTTTGCTGCAGTTCTTTTATTGTATTGGCAAAAGTACTTATTTCTGAAAATCCTTTAGAATTTTAAAGTTTTGAAATGAAAGTCAAAATTTTATTTGAGCTGTGTGCAACTGATGAGCCTTAATAGTTGCCATCCTAAAAATAAATAAGGAAATAAACTAATTTTTGAAAGTGCATTATCCATTTCCCAAATTAATCAGAGGTCATTTCATTCAATTGATTTCATAAACTACTTAAATATCTATGAATATGCACGTATATACACAGCTGTGAAAATACACATAACATAACTGATTATTCCATTTAAGCTGAACATTAAATGTTAGTTGAATCTTTCCATTCTTTCTTCTAAATGTAGATAATTTTTTTTTTAATTAAAAACCCCCTCACAGACTGAATTACGTCTTCGGGTTTATAAAAGACCTCTTTGCAATCACAGTGGTTCTATGCTCAGAGAAGGTTCTGTGCTACACCAGATACATATTTGGATGTAGAATAACTGTAGTATCACCCCCATCATACGAGATGGAACATGTTTTGCTCATAACTGGCCTGGGTCTGACACGGACCTTGATTTCCAGAGTAGTCCATCTGCAGCTGGGAGGGAACTTCTGACAAGGAACCTACATTACCTCTGTGTTCTGCTGTATGATTATATGTATGTACAGACAGTATTCTGGGAGTTACCAACAAGGAATAGAAAGTAAGTTAGAAGTTATTACACTGCATTCTACTTAATTCCACTGGTCAGAGGTTTTCAGATCTGGACAGTCTGATCGTTATTCAAGAATAACACTTCTGAAGTACTGAGTTGTATTTGATATCACAATTATTAGAGCTGACAGACTGAGTCTTTCTCAGCTGAATTTTAAGAGTTCCTGTAAAATTCCTGCCCAAATTTTAACCCATTAATCAGATTTGAAACAGTTTATTACCATCTTTGTCACTATATCCTACTTCCAACGTTGCTGTTGCTCGCTCTGTTGCCTTGAATTTCTCACTGATATCCATTTCTCATGGAACAAATCACGCAATTATCTAAATTTCCTGTTGTGGCTGTGCTTTACTACACCTTTTGCTCCATTTATCCCTGCAGGAAGTTTACAGATTCGGTACAAGTTAGACAGCCATCAAGATCCTGATGTCTTCAGCACCAGTTTCAAAAGCATGGCTGATGGACAGCTGCAACACGTGAAGATTAACAGAGAGGAGGAAATGCTCTTTGTAGAGGTAAAAACCAACAAAAAACAAGGTGCATCATCATAAAGCAAATGATCCAAAGCAAAACAAAATAAATGGTTGCAACAAGGCAATTATCTCCAAATAAAGTGTTTTAATATCTCAATTAAGCAAAGCAAAGGTTAACAGTCTTGTGATGCACAGTAAAAATTTACATTATCCAATCTCTTTGATGTTAATTTTGTCTATTTCAGAAGGGTAATATTACCTCATAATTTTATATGAAAATGTAATTAATTGCTTGATGATTAAACTTTCAAAATTTGTTAAATGTATGTGATTGCTATCGTTTGTTTTGGATCTTGCATTTTGCTCATTTTATTCAACTTATGCACTAAACTACAGTACAACTATATTGTCACCCACGTAACTCTTTTGTGAAATTTTCTGTGGTCTCTTTTATATCATCAAAGTAATGTGGCTATGAAGGAGAATTTTTTTTTTATTTTTTATGATAAAAGAGAAATATTTATTTTTCTAATGATACATATTACATGCAAAACAGTCCTTTTTTTAATAGAAATTTTAGAAACCTGAATGTTTTAGTATTTACAATTACAATTTACGATTACTAAATTACGATTTTGTATTTTGAGGCTAGATCTTGGTTTACTTAATTATGAATTGCTACTTGGCTTGAAGTAGTTCTAGAGGTACTGTGGGATGCAGAGCATTTACAGTATAATATTTAATCTTTATGAACTAAATTTTGAGTATCTTTTTAAATGGAAAGAGACTTTATTTTTAAAGGTTTACTATGGTTATTCACCTTATAGATGAAAAAGAAGGAATCAGCCAAATCAATAAGATAAATAAAGGCTTATTAAGTGGGATGCTTAAGAAGTATCACATTTATAATCAGTGGTCTGAGGAAACTAAAAATCTATTCCTTGATGAGTTTTTATGCTATAACTAACAAATGCCTCCCTCAGATCCTCTTATTTTTAGCCTTGATCTTACCTGCTTTTCTGAAAATCTTGACTATTATCTCTTCCGTTATTCTGGTTTGTTCATCACTCTATTGTTCTACAGGTTAACCAGAAGGAAAGAATGAAGTTTATTCTGTCTTCAGGCACAGAATTCAATGCAATCAAATCTCTCACTCTTGGCAAGATTTTAGGTAAGTGGAACACTACAGGGTTTTCTAAGATGTGGATCAAAATGTCAACACAGGGCATAAAAAATAACTCTAATCTCATTGAAAGACATTTGTTGTCATGGATTTATTTAGAGACAGAGTAACAATCAATGTAGAAGCCTCAGTTGTGTTGAAATACAGATATAATCATGAGTAAGTGCTTCCTGAAAAGACCATCAAGTACAAGATGATTGCACACTTCTCTCTCTCTCTCGTTTTGCAATCAAGCATTATGAAGAAAAAATAAATCACATTGAAATCATACACAAAGAAGGTAGAAAGCTGTTAATCACATACCACACTTGAAAAACTTCCTGTGATTAGATTTTGATGTACCTAGTTAAGACTATGGTAAGTCAAATCTTTGTTGGACGCTCTTTTTATAACCAAGTTAAGCTATGACAAAATGTTTTGTCTTGTGATGATTCTTCAAAATATGTCTGTTTCTCTGCAATAATGATTAAAATGTAAATTACCAATCTACAATTATCATTTTGCCAGTGTTATTTAAAGAAAACAGAAATAACCTGGACTAAATTTCTCAAGATCTCAAGATCTAATTTTAACCTCTGTGCTATGGGCAGCAAAGTCTTTCATTAGGCCAGGTTGCTCAAAACCCCATTCAACCTCGCCTTGAACACTTCCAGGGGTGGGACATCTACAGCTTTTCTGGGCATCCTGTTTCAGTGCCTCATCAACATCACAGTAAAGAATTTCTTCCTCATGTTGAATCCAAACTCACCATGTTTCAGTTTAAAGCCATTGCCCTCTGACCTATTACTATGTGAAAAGTCTCTCCAGCTCTCTTGTAGGCTTCCTTTGAGTAGGGGAGGGCTGCTGCAAGGTGTCCCTGGGCCCTTCTCTTCTCCATGATGAACAGCCCCAATTTCTCAGCCTTTCTCTATAGGAAAAGTGTTGCTGCCCTCTGACTATTTCTGTGGCTATCCTCTGTACCAGCTCTGACAGGATCACATCCATCTCTTGCTGGAAACCCCAGAACTGGACATAGTGCTTCAGGTGGGCTCTCACAAGAATAGAGTAGAGGGGTGTGAGACACTGAAATGGTTTATGGCTTAAACATCACTGGAAGACTTTTGTCCACTGTAGCAAAGTGTGCAAAAGAAGCAACTGCACAGCAAAGGCCACGTCTCCCTGAATATGCCAAATAATTTGGACTGTGACGGCAACCGGGGATAAGGTGGTACTGTAGTCCAATTATCCCAGGAGAAGAACGCATCCACAGGTGTGAAAGACTGGAATGCTGATGGCTCAGATAATCAAGGTGAAAACTTCTGATGTGCAAAGAAACTACCCAGGTGCTGAGGGCGTGCACAGCCACCACCTCAGGCTGCAAGCTGGGTAAGAGAAGGAAAGAGGCAAATCTTATTTCTTTGTCCTTACACAAAGGATTTGGCTGGGCTGTGATAACTCCCCTCTGGGGAAGCATCAGGACAATTCACACATAGCCTGAAGATATTAATCTCTGCTGATAATGGCCTTAATGGACACTGTATGCAACTATAAGGTCTCAGAAGTCACGAAATATGCCCTGATCCAGTATTACATCATCCACTGTAAAACTCCCCACCCCAAGGGAGGAACTGGGGGTGTTTCCACCTAGCCTAGGCCCAATAAAAGACAGCAGGGACTTCAGTCAACACACCTGGACTTCCTCCTTCACCACCCTGGGCTTTGCACACAAGGGACTTCTCTCAACAATGTGGATTTCTTCCTCCACCACATGGGCTTCTTTCCTCACACACATGGGCTCCTTCCCTCACACAAATCTTCCCTCAGCACCCTGGACTTCACTCACCACTCAGACTTCTTCCCTCACCACCCTGGGCTCCCTTTGATGGACCCAGACTGCAGTCATCACTTGGACAAGACTGGGACTCTCATCATCAAGAAGAGGATCATTGGGACACCGTTGGAGTACACAGAGTGGTGATGAATCTGTCTCTCTGTCGCACTCTGTCTCCCTTTCTCTTTCTTTCCTGTTTCTTTCTGCTTCTCTCTACCTCACATTTACTCTTAAATAAAATCCATATTAGTGACTTTGGCATGTGGTCTGATTTGCAGCTTAATTCAGACAGAAACATCTCTTGAATAATTTTAAGAACTAAATCATGACAAGGGGGGAGAGTCATCTCCCTCAATCTGCTCACCAGGCATCTTTTTGTGCAACCCAGGTAAGGTTTGCTTTCTGAACTGCAAATGTTGCTGGCTCATATCTTATTTTTCATCTACCAGTGTCATCAAGTGTTTCTCCTCGGGGGTGCTCTCATTCTACTCACCCCCCAGTCTGTATTGATTTTGGGGATTGCCAAGACCCAGGTGCAGAACCCGGCACTTGGCCTGGTTGAATTTCATGGATGTTCACATGATCCCAATCCTCAAACCTGTCAAGGCCCTTCTGGATGGCATTCCATCTCTCAAGTGTGTCAACTTCACTACTCAGTTTAGTGTCATCCACAGACTTTTCTTAGGATACACTCAACCCTACTGTTGGTATAGCTCAGTAAGGGTATTGAATAGTAACAATACCAGTGTGGACCCCAAAGGAACACCACCTGTTACCAATCTCCATTTAGACACTGAGCTGTTGGGTGCTCAGTTTGGATAAGACACTCCAATTAATTCTTTATCCATCAATTGTTTTCAATTCTGAAAAATAGAAATACATGTTTTTGAAATGTAGGTTTTATTTATAGAACTTACAGTCCAGAAAGGAACTGGTATGTAGATGTGTATAAAGAATGGAAAAATAATGATCATTTAAACATAATTCTAAAGCAGTACTGGGTGAAATTTAAAGTACTAGAAGAAAATGTTTCCTAATCCCAGAAATTGATGATAAAAATGAATCAGGTATTTAATTTATTTTTTTTCTCAATGACTTTTGAATGACTTTGGGAATCTGGAGAGGTGCCAGCTGACAGGAGCATGTCTAATGTTATCCTGATTGTCAAGAGGGGCAAGAAGATTGACCCTGGAAACTACAGGCCTGTCAGTCTCACTTCAGTGCCTGATAAAATTATGGAGAAGATTATTCTAGAAAGTATTGAAAAACACCTGAAGGACAAAGCAGTCATCAGTCACAGCCAGCAGGACTTCATGAGGCAAGAGTCCTGCTTGTCGGGCTTAATTTCCTTTAATGACAAGATAACTCACCCAGTTGATCAAGGGAAGCCAGTTGATGTAATCTCCTTGGATTTCAGTGAAGTTTTTGACAATGTCTGTCACAGGATCCTTCGGATAAAATCGACTGGTCACTGGTGGGATTCCACACATTAGGCCCAGTGCTCTTCAACAGCTTCATAAATGCTTGGATGCAGGGCTTAAAGGAGTACTAAGTTTGCCGATGATACTGGATTGGGAAGAGCAAACAAAGTGCTATAAAGATACTTAAGGATGCATAACTACAGTTTACTATAATACACAGTCTCCAATAAACAACTTGTGTTTTATGTGTCATTTTCAGTCAATTTTTCACTTTAGCACTGAAGTGGAGAATGGTTGTCTTCCCTTTTATCATCAAGATTGCTTGATCTAATAAAAAGTTTTACTTTATCACAGCAGTATTTTCTAATTAAGGAGTCAAGCGAACTGAAAGGATTTAAAATATCTAATTTCCTTTCATATTATACACATACAATATTTAATAAATTATTCGTGTAGGAAACTAAAAAATAATACAAACCACTCTAATCCTGAAGTTTTCAATCCTACATATAGTTAGAGATATGTATTTTTATTGCAAGGGGTTTGGGAGGATGTTTGTTTGCCACCTCAATGTTAATCTTTTTCTTAAAACATCCAACCCTAGCAGATCCCTCAGTGCATAGAGGCAATCACCACAAACAGATGTAAAGAGAAAAGAGGCAGTTAAACAGCCAAATTTTATGTGCACCATCGGTGTAGGTGAGCAGACTTTTGGCTAACATCCATCTATGTAATGATATATCATCGTTGCAATAAGCAGAGAGCAGATGAGGAAAATGCTGCTGTGTGATTTTGCAAAGTTCTACAAAAACGCATTAACCACTTTTTCAACATTAACCTGCATTTTACTGAGGATTGCACTGTATGTTGGTACTTAAAATTGTTATGGGAGCCATTGTAAAGATCACAACTTCATTTGTGGGTTCTAGGGTAGGCTGGAGGTGGAAATGAATGGGATGAAATTCCCATTTTATTTTCAAAACCTTGAAAATTGACTTCCCTTGTGAGTCCACTTTGAATACCCAGTACTTCCAGATTCTTTGTTTAAATTAGAACTACCAGAGTAAATAAATGGCTTGTTTTCCACATCAAAAGTAACGCATTAGTGAGCATTGCCTGGTGAATAAATAGAGTTCTGACATGCTGTGTACATGCATTCAGAAAGGCAGCTCTAGAGATAAGGTGAGGAGGTATAGGGTTTTTTCCTCTCCCTTTTTGGGAAAAATAATGATATCATATTTTAAAATGTATAGTGAATTGGAACCTATTCATTTTTTAAAATTTCACAGAAAATATCTTGATGAGTTTCCAGAATCTGAGATCTTCAAAGAGTTTTTGTTTTGATAGACTGTCATGATGGCATGGAGTAGATACATGAATCTGTGGAAGAAATATGTTCCTTATGAGAAGGAATCTAATAAAATGTATTTTTAAAGGATGCATGCTGTACCCTTATATTTTTGCAGAATGAAAAAGTGCTGCATTTTAATTTAAATATTTTAGTTACATTGGAAACCTTTTGCTTTGGAACTTGCTCTTGTAATTTAAAAATATATCCCTTAGCAAATTAGCAATTATCATCTGTTAAAAAAAAAAAAGCGGGGTTGAAGCCTGTCTTTTCATAAAGACAGGCAAGAAAGGGATTCAGTGAATCTACATGTGTTGCTGCAACTCAGATATGCTCAGAGGAACACAGGTTAATTATTAATTTATTCTTCTGTCGCTTTATTTTGTACATTTGTGCTGTGATTAATTGTATTCTGTTCCTTTTGATTAACAGAGAGCGGCGACGTAGACGAGGAGACGATGAAGGCAAACTCTCAGGGGTTTATTGGATGTCTCTCTTCGGTGCAGTTCAACCACATTGCTCCTTTGAAGGCTGCACTGCACCACAGCAGCTCAGCCCCTGTCATTGTAAAGGGACATTTCACTGAATCCAACTGTGGGACTTTAGCTGGAGCTGACTCGACATCAAGTGAAACAACCCATTCATTTGCAGGTAGCGTGTGATTATCACTTCCTCTGATCTCTGAAGCAAAATCTAAATAAGAACACTCATGACCTGAATCACAACTTACTTGTTATTTTTCCATGTGGGTTAATTTCTCAGGAGTAGCTTAAAAATAATTCTCTTTCATATGTACTTGCTTCCTTTTCTCTAGCCCTTATCTATTCATCTGAATGTTTACATTTCTCTTTTTATCTCTGCAAAGTGTCACCTACATCACTGTTCTTCTTTGCATGCTTACTGACCCACACTACTGCCTCTGTAGCATATTGTAAGTGAGCTTGTAACCATGTGAGAATTTCTTGAAGACCTTTCTCTGTCTGTCATTTTCTTTCTTTTTTTTTTCTTCTGCTGCAGATCACTCTGGACCAATAGATGAAGGAAAGCCCTTAGCTAATGCAATCAGAAGTGACTCTGCAATTATTGGAGGTAATAGGGACTATAAAAACTCTGCAGGAACCTTGTTTTTTTTCTAACTGTGAGTCTTTCAATGCTGAAGTCAGTTTAGCTTTATGCTCATAAAGAAACCAGTAGAAAGCCTTCATTTTATTACAACTGGTGGACACACAAAAGTCAAGCACTGTTGTAAAAGGCAATTGATAGCTCTCATATTTTCTTATTACATAAATTCGTGCCATCACTGTTTCCATATATTGGAACAGTCTGCTGAAAAATAAGACAGTAAGAACAGTTTTCCAATCTGAATAATACTGGTGTCTGTGACTTAAAAATGTGCTTGGATTTGTCATGACAAATAGCATATATTTAGGACAGAGCTATCTTTTCTTCTTGACTTTGCCAAAAAATTACCTTTTGTTACACGGTCAAGTTCAAAATCTTCTTTAATAGGTCTGAACAATAAAGAGTTTTTCTTCAGAAAATGAGGTTTAACACTGTTTGAATCAATCCTTTGACAGTCTGAGGAAGTTTCATCCTGGTTTCCTATTTGGAAAGCAATGTACTCATGGACAGACTATCACTTCCACTGATTTACAGCTTAAAAACAAAATGCATGTTAAAATAATAATACTAATAAAAAAAATAACTGTTGATTTGGAGTATCATTTCTCCTCCATTTTCTTCCTATTTCTTTTGGTCACTTCAATCAGCTCAAATAGAACTACAAAGGATCACCCACGAACTTTTTCCAAAACATTTTTTTTTTTTTTTAAACAGAGGAATAAAGACAGAACCATGTAGAGTTCAGTTACTCCTAAAGTGACTATAGGGACAAAGGGACAGTTTGGGATTGGGAAACCTCTGGAGAATTTAAACTCCTGTCACCACTATTGCAGGAAGTAAATGTCTACGTTATTTCAGTATTTTTCTTTCAAGGAATAGTATTGTCTCCTGTGACAATCATCCCCTGTGAGAATTTCTGGTAGTATTTCTTCTGTTGGAAGGAGGTGAGGAAAAAAACCAAACAAACCTGGTTTTTATCATTAAGATGATGTTTTCACAGGGTAATTCACTGTTTCAATTTGCATTAGTTATCCTGACACAAAGAAGGCAGTGGGATGAAAAGGTCATCCCCTCCATCTTTTAAATTCTGAAAAGGTTTACTTCCTAAGAGTTTTTAAAGCCTTAGCAGACAAATGAAATAGTGGAATTTAGCTGAATAAGACTGTCAAGGCTTCTCAACGAGGTTAAAAGTGTTTATCTCTGTGGAAGGTGAAGTTAAGAACTTGCAGTCACCTGTGTGTCTGTCATTTAAATAATAATACCTGCTATGGTTAGGGCATGCCCAAAGCATACTGCATGATCAGTGACCTTTAACACAGTCATACCAAAGATACTAAAATAAGAGATAATAAAGTGTAGAAGCTTCCTTACTTGTAAAGTGATACTTATGTCCATATAATTTTATATACACAAAATTCTTTTACCACAGAATTCAGCGAGATCAGAATTTAATAATATTGTTTCTGAGCTCTTTATATGTCTAATTTTGTCAAAACTTGCTTTACTGAAAAGATGAGTATTATTTCACATAAATATCTCTATTTAAAGTCACTGCGTACTAGGTGACTTAGTATTGGTGGGGATCTTTAAATGTACTAACAACAAAGTAATTTTTTGCCTTCAATTTACAGTAGTTACAATATTTTTAAGATAATAGCAACCTTACCATTTTGTTAAACACATTTGGGAATATACATTCACAATTTTTCTGCTGCTTAACCATGTTTGTTTAAAGTCAAAACAAAGCAAGCTCTACAACATTCAGTAAAAGCTTAAAGTACCCTTAAATGAGTGTAACTGAGAATGGTACCAGTTCAGCTACTTCACACAAAGCAAGTCTATAGAAAAACTCTTACAGGGAGCATCTACTGTGATTGTGAAATTAAAGGACTGTTCTATATAATCTAAATAAGAGCAAGATTAACTCATACTGTAAAGTCCATTTCAGAGAAGCAGATACCATACAAAAAATTTTACATTCCTACAATGATGGATGGATGCTCCCATTAAAGAACAAGCAAAATGACATGTGCTGAATTTTGGATGGTCTGTTTCTGTTTAGAGTGCTAAGAGACTTTGTATTTTTGTTTTTCTTGCAGTAGTGGCCAAGTTTTGCAGCATATTGTCCCTTCATCTAGTACAGCTGCTCCACTGCATTGCAACCATTTTCCAGGCTGCTTATTGCTTTTTCTCTCCCAACAGCCTAGTCTTGCTTTCTGCCTCTTTGGCAAACATGATCTGTCTCCCTTATGTTTCATTTCCCCTCAAATTCCTCTCCTGCCCACCCTCTGACTCGTGAACCTAAGGGTATGAGCCCATCATGACAGCAAGAATGAGGAAGAGGGGAGATGAGCGGGAAGTCTGTAAGATCATGCTTATCTCAGTGGGAAGTATCTCTCTTTACTGTTCCTGATCTGCAGTGCCTTGAGTGGGGAGCCTGGCAGAGATCCAGCACCTGACTGTGAAGGAGGAAAAGAAACCCTCTCATCCACAGCACCCTAAGGCCCCTACTGGTCTTCCACTTGAAAGTTTCAAAAATTACAGTTTTCTGTGGACTTTCTGTTTTTATTATTAATGGTGTGCAATATTTCAAAACAATCACCATGAAGCTTAGACTACAGTGCTGGCTCTGATTTGAAACCAGTTATGGCTTCTTATTACCCTGCAAGCCCTTCCATTATGTGATGTAGTCATTCCTTCTTTGTCCTGCTCTCTAGCCCACATGTTATTTATTATTTGCCTGTCCTTTATCATGACTTTTTTTTTTCTCTTTTCTCCTTCTAGGTGTGATAGCAGTTGTGATATTCATCCTGCTTTGCATCACAGCCATAGCCATACGCATTTATAAAAAAAAAGGCATGTACTCAAAAAACGAGGCAAAAGGATCTGAAAATGAAGACAGTGCTGAATCTGCATTGAAAAGTGAGCTCAGCATGCAAAACACAGCCAATGAAAATCAAAAGGAATATTTCTTCTGATGTCATTAGTGGTTTAATCGAATATAATAATGTGACTGTCTGACTTTCTTGCTAAGCCAGGGGTTCTCACTGGACAGAAAAAGCTCTTGCACACTACACTAAATGCAATGGATTTGAGACTTGCTGTACTCCATATGTTCAGTCTCAGTGATTGCTGTAGGGGGCCTCTTTAAATGACATGCATTCCTTAGCTATTATACCGTAAATGCATTTTATGTAACAGTGACTTAGATATTGTAACCAACTTCATCGGTGGTAGTTTCCGACTGTTCTGATGTGACCTTCTACAACTGAAGTTTAATGTACACACTTAATATGATTTTTGAATGGGAAAATTGTCATGAGGTTATTCCTATCCTTTTTCTTTAAAATTTGATTCAGAGGTTTTGTTCGAGGTAAAGGGTGGATTCTAATACTTTGTGTTACTAAAGAAATTCTGCTGTGCTGCGTTGTGGTGATCCCTCTTCCTTCCTCAAACAAAAATGCCTTTTGAACTGCTGTTAGCTGGTGTCAGCATCTGCTTGTGAGCCATGGTATTTGGTGTCCAAAACAAACTGTATTTATTTCCCCTGGGATTTGACCGATATCATCATTATCCCTTCTTTTTGGCAAGCTTAGCAGAACTGAAGGGTATAAAATGTGTTGAAATGTCTTAAAATCTTTTTGGCAACAGGTTTTCCATTATGGTCAAGTGATGGCACCAAGAGACTCATGCACATTCTGGGCATTTTAAATAAAACTGGGGCAGGGGGGGAAGCAAAATTTTTTCTTGGAAAGATCAAGTAATAATCTAAAAATAGTTAAATTAGCATGAGTAAAAACACAAAAAAGAGGATCAAGGTTATTGCCCCTGGAAATCAATAATATTGCTTCTGTCAGGAAGTAATGCTCTGTGCACTGTCTGGGATGTATTCTCTTGAAATGTTGTATCTGTGACCTGATCCAGACCTCAAGAATAAGTATTTCTAAATTATAGAAATTATACAGTGTCTGCTACATGAATACTTTTGTGCTTCACTCTTAACAGTACCTACTATACCTTTTTGAGATAAGGTCTGATTATACAAACTCAAAATTAAACAGGTGCTTGCTGTCCTGACAGAGGAAATGAAAGCTGTCCATGATATTGTACAAACAAATTGTTAAATATGAAGGCTACGTTTAAGTTGTCTAAACAGAAGATTGTAAGGTCACTTTAGATACCATAGGATATCTGAAATACCCATGTGGCTGGACACGAATGTCACAGATTCTGCAGAAGTCATGTCTTTTGAAAAGACACATGCAGGAGTTGGGTAGAAGGCATCATAAATGGCATTAGATACCAATATGTAGGTAACTGACCCACACACAAAACATTTTTTGGTTTCCTCCAGTCAGATGACCAGGTGCCTAGGGCTTGGGTCTGAGAAAACCAACAGGAATTCTGTGACCTTGTAGACTTGAGTTTAAAATTTAAGCATCTTTCACAATTGATTTTTTTATCTGCTTCCATTGGAAGCAATAATAACAGTCTTCTCACTGGTCATTTAGTGAGAAGAATCAAAACTAGACCCTAGGTTGTGAAGTTTAGAAAATATTTATCATAGATGTCCAAGAACATTATAAAGATATAGAAACCAGACATGGTATGCCAAAACCTTTAATATGTAGATTTCTTTACATAAATGGTAATTGTAAATATAAATGTTCTGCAGATCTTTTTGTTTAAAACCTATTTTATTCCATCAGTCTTTACTTTCTATGTTCAGATTTCTACCTTTGCTTTCTACTTCCTCCTATACAGGGGGAACAATTCTTAGGAACAATTTATTTCCTTTTTGTTTTTGTTTTTTTTTGGGTGCCTGGATACTCTTCAATCATAAATTGTTAAAATTAACATGTAGTGCTTTCTTCTTCTCATTTTTGCAATTCTGTGTGCATCTCTGATGGATTAATCAGGTTGAGGATCCAGAACTGTATCCATGTTGTGCATATATTTAATGTATTCACTGATACAGTTTGGTCCCTGACAATAGGTCACTTTTAGAAAGGGTGGAACATGAGGAGGGAATAATATTGGACTATTCCCCATAAGTGATAAGGCTGAAAATACCCTGTTTGTGGATGAGGAGTGGAAGAGGTGAAAGCCTCCCATGAGCCATGAGAAGAAGACTTTGAATTGTTAAGTTTACTACTTTCAACCCTCTCACCTCTTTACTTTTATTTTAAAATTATGACTCCTGCTTTTCAAGGGTCTGACCTAAATTGCATTAAATTCAGGGGGAGCTCTTCCATGGACTTCTCTGCAACCAAACCCTCTTCATCTCAAGAGGTTTTCCCTTCCTGTTATAAGTGTGTCAGTATTCAACTTTTTATATCACTTATCAACAAGTCCATCGGCAGTGATAAGTCCCAGTGAACTCCATTTTTATCACTGTGGGATGGAGGAACCATGAGGGACAAAAACTTGTAAGACGATGTTGGTCACAGTACACCAAAGCAGATATTTTGATTTAATGATAAAGACAGACTGTCTTTTATCTTAACTCTCATATAAGAGTTGCTCATACTAACCTAATAAAGCCTAAATGTTACCCACAACAGGACAAGATGGAGGAATGTAAACCTAAGTTTTCAATCACTTTGTTTTACTTTTATTGCCTTGTAAAGTTTTATTGTATGTCTTCATGGAGAGAAAGGTCTCTTCCATTACTTTGTTTTCTTCCAAATGGATATTTTCTTTCTCTATTGCTCAGAATTTTTAAAAGCAACAGGAAGGGAAAAGCTGAGTAAAATCTCTATTTCACAGACTAGTTAAAAAAAGGGAGAGGGCAGTATAAATGATTCTGTGAGTGGCACGTTATTTCATTCAAAGACTTCTTTTAAAGCATTTTATTGTACGAAGGATGCTAAGAGGAAAAAGATAAATGGATTTTGTTGAATGCACATCTATCTGTAGATTTGTAGCATACAAAAATTATGTCTCTCTGAAGATGCAAATGCCCATTTTCACCTGTAGGAACAGTGATCATGTAGTTGTCACCTTAATCTAAAATATACATGTTCGAAGTCAATGAAGCAGCATTTTTTCATTTACTTGCTGCATTTCTATGGGGATAAAAAAAAAATGGTGGCACCGAAGTGCCCTAAAACGTCATAAAACATTGTGCTGTCCCTTTTTGGATTCTCTATTCCAATGTGTGACTTTTCACCTCACTGTTAATAAAGTCTTTTTAAAATAAAGTGAGGAAAATATTTTTAAAAAGAATTTGTATTAAAGGTTTAAAACTGACGACGATATACTGATTTTTTTTTTTAACAGTAAAAATATGTAGAAGTGCACATAATGTTTTGGTGAGTGTGGTTATTTATAGATATTTCTGAGCACTAATGTGACAAATTTGCTATGCATTGACACATTTTCCATGGCAAATATATTTTTTCTCAAGTATATTAGAAAATAAATGGCAGCATGTGTGCAAGTACATTTTTAAAACTCTGTGCGGGCGCTCACTACAAAGGCTTTATAATTATTTATGTACTCAACATTTAGCACATAAATGTGATTTAGTTAGGTTTTGGGAAAACATTTTCCAGTACCTCTACTGCTGTGTAAATGAAGAATATGTTATAAACCAAGTGTTCAACTTAACATGAACTGTAGTCGGAGTCAAAATAAATTTACGAAATCGTTATTCATGGCAGTGACATACAAGGGAAAAAGCATGTAAATGACAAATTCAGGCAGAATTCCTGAGAGGAATCAGCTGTAAAGATTAGAGTATACAGATTTAGGTTTAGATGCCAGGAAGCCTGCAGCACCAGTGTGGTATATAAAATCAGAAAATGAAACTATTGCAGGTCAGCGGAGGATTGATGGGAAAATACCCTTTTGAAATTTTTTTCAGAAGTAATTGTAGTTGTTTACACTCAAGGCAGAGATAGAGCTGTAGAAACTATGTGATGTTACAGGGAAAGGATGTTCTTTGTAACAGAAAAATATTTGCTAAGTCAGAAAACAATGCTGAAAAAGCACGTGCCCCAGTCTCTGGGTGCAGTGCACATTCTTTGGAGTGAGCATACAGAAGTGTGGCATAATTTTATCAAACTGAGACCCTAATTCTGCAGCCAAAAGTATGATGATTCCTTGGTGTTTCTGATCATTTAATGAGATTGCACATTATCAAGAAGGAACAAAAATGAAAAATCCTGCAGAAACTAGAGCTGAATGAAAAGGTGCATTTGTAAAGGTACAGAAGTAATTTCTCTTTCTTTCTTTTTTTTTTTTTTTGAGTACACACAAGACCATGCTTAAAAGAGTAAGGAAAAGAAAGGAAGTTCCCTTTAAATTTACAGAAGCCTTTTGGTGGTGGTGGTGCTAAGGAAAGAAAGGTATGATGGTTTTGAGTACAGAAATTGCTGAAGCTGCTAACACAAAAAAAGAGAAACAAAACCACAAAGGTTTGCTAAGAAATCATACTCATCCTTATTCTAGAAGGAGTGCCTGAAAATTAATTTTTGACAAGAACTAGCACTGTTCTTTGGATACATTTGCCAAACCTGTTAATCTTTGATATTCCCATTGTTAGGAAAGGAGTCAAACATCACATCACGGTGTCACCACGGAAAGATGGACCTTTCCTTTGAACACTGAACTAAAACCCCACTCGGGTTCAGGTGAATCCTTAATGCAGGATGAAATTTTGATGTTTGTAAGATTTCGTATAAATGGCACTTATTAAACAGCATGGTAAATCCACAGTAAAAATCTCTCTCAGCATATGAGCAAATGCATGTTCACACACATGTTCATTTAAGGGAGCTACGAAGTCAGTGCTAAGATTCTTTAAACTTCGCCATTCTCTTTTTATTATATATGATACTGAAAAACAGTCCAAAGTTCAGAACCATCCTCCATAATGTTGGGAAATATTCAATCCATTTCAAGAAAATGATTAACATTTTAAGTGTTTTTTCAACGGGGAGAAAAAAAAAAATTAGATTTTTAAGTTTCTTCCCGTATTGTAAGAGGTAGATGACCAGGCTCTGCCTGATAGAAGACAAAAGGTTATATCATCTCTCACACAGTGTGGTTTTTTGCTTGTGAGTTTGTTTTTTGGGTTCTTTTTTAATTATTTTTCCAGTAGTTACATCTAGGGCTTGAGAAACCATTTGACTGATAGCAAAATAAATGTCACACACACACACATGAAAATCACTACACTGCACAGTGTATTTAAGCTACTGTCTAATAAATGTCCTGAAAAAGCCCTAATTAATTAGTGGTCCTTTAATCAGCTAATATGTGCTTTACTAAATCAATTGAGGTATAGTTCTCCCAGTCAGTCATCTGGTTTTTAGGTAGCACCATGGCTCATGCATTTGGATTAGGTGAGTCAGTGGGCATCAACAAAAGATTCTTAAATCTGTAGAAGAAAAACAGATACTCAAAATCCTTCTGAAGTCCAAGAAAATTGAGGAAAAATTGTCATTGAGTTAATATAAAAAATGCATATATTATTCTGCAAACTCAGTGATACCAGCTAGGGCTTGGTAACCTTTGCATGTTATACTTCTTAACACAACACAGTGTTTTGGTTTTCTGACTTATTCTGATGTGTGCAAGAACTTGTTAATCCAAATACAATACAATATTTTGGAGCCTGATGAACTGATGACTTTCTGTTTTGAAAAGCAAAGGTGCCTTTCAAGCAATTTATAAGGCCAGTGATCATTCATCTGAAAGCAGCTGTCATAAAATCTGAATTAAAAAAGTAAAGTCTGCAAATGCATGCCTCAGTACATAATATAAATTCTGTGATGGACACCTGCCTATAAATTATTTGAGCAATTAACAGAATTTCAGCATACTTCTCCACGCTGTGTGGATTGAGCTCTGAGAAGTCCAAGAATATCTATCCCACCCTCAGATATATGGCCTTGAAAAAAGCCATTAACCTTTACACTTCATTTATACAATAAGAAGAATATACTGAAGTTTTGACTAACTTGCTGTATTCATGTTTGTGAAGACCTTAGAAGGTGGAAACCTTTATATAAATAGACAGCATGATAATAGAAATGAAACTCTATCTTTTATGTAGCAAAAAAGTATTATGGTAAGTCATATTAATTATCTATATTTATTTTAATACATTTATTTCAGGAGACAGATCTTTTTCTTTCAGACAGAAATAATACCATTTTCCTGTTCTTTTATGCATAGTGTGACTCATGAATAAAGAGGAGAAAACAGACCTTGGACTACTTGGTGTAGTATAGATTTGATTGCATGCCTTCTTATATCAGAAAATTAGAGCCCAGAACATTTTCATTTAACTGGGTGGAGGATAGTTGAAGTAAACAAAATAGGTGTCATATAGATAAACACAAAACATGAATTATAACACCACATCTACATTCTTACAAAATGTTTCCTGCTAATTGATTAGTTCAAAGGGAATACCTCCTGTAGATGTTTTAATGGAGCGGCATCTGCTTCATTAATCTTATTTGCTGCTATTTTTAATTATCATACAGGAAGTGTTCTAACCATGAGCAGTTGCTAGGCATACCATATTTTATTTTCTAGATGACAGGATAAAAAAATGTAGTGTTTTCCAGTATCTTTAAATCTATAGCACATACGAAGCACTCTCTATCTAGATAAAATGATTTTGTGTATTCTATATCAAGCAGCAAACATGATAGTAAACATACATTGGTGTGGTGTTTGGGGTTTGTTTTGGTTTGGTTTTCCTTTGTTTTATTTTTGGTTTTGCTTTTGTTTGGTGACCCACCCCACCCAAACACCCCTGCAGTAAACAGAAAATGGGTTGACAGTTTTAGGTTAACCATATCCTGCTTGTGAACAAAGTATTTTAAAAGGGCCCTATAGGATGTTAATATTTAATTTTAAAATTGTAGGAATTTAAATTAAAATTTAGTACATTTAAATTAAAATTTAGTACATTTAAATTTAAATGTACTAATTTAAAATTAGTAGTAATTCAGAATGTTTCAGTAGTAGCAGCCCCAAGATATAACCTTTCTATTTTTTAATCAAAAGTTATTAGTAAACACTATTTTAGTAAATACTCCATAGGAAACTCTCCTTATTCAGTGACACCAGAAACACCATCTCAAAACCAGTAACCACTCAGTCATGATCCCCTCACCATGGAAGTTGAAAAATTGTACCTGCAAAACCATTTGATATTTACTGGTAGGAACAGAAAACCCTTTAGCTGTTACCGTGTTTTTACTACAAAGCATAAAGGGCTTTATTCTCACAGAGCAAATGCTCTCCATAAAATTGACATTCAACTGGATTGTTTAGTGTCATCATCTGTAAATCAGCAACTCATATTTGAATTATTGGTGGTGTGTTGCTATGATTTTGCTGCTTTGATGTTCAAATTCAAAATATGTACATCTGATTCAAAGTTGTTTTTCAATAATTCATGTCATAAGCATAAAAATGCTGTGTTTCAGGTGTTTTACAGATAAAGTCAACTGGAAAGTAGCAGTTAAATATAGAATAGGATTTTTAAAATGTGTCATATGTTCCTTTACAGGACACATTTAGAAAGTTCATTTATTTTTACAGAACATACTGTGAGGGATTTATGATTTATTCCAAGAACACATAATAGGAAAGAAGGGCAACACTAATAGAAAAAGAGAGGAATATAAAACAGGAATTTCTTGATAAAACTGTTCTTAATAAAGTCCTGAGATTTTTCTTTTATGATACTCTTGTTACAGCTATTTCTCAATTCACATGAAATGCTTATTTGGGATCATGTCGTCGAGCTATATCAGCTTTAAATTATTTCTTTTGTAAGAACAAGCTAATTTTAGTTTCAGGTTGATATCTAGCTGTCTGTTTGCCTCAATAAAGTACTTCAATCTGTAAATTAAGCACAGCATGAAATGTCTAGTTATGTACCTCCTCTCTGCAAAATAATAGCAATAATTAACAGTCCCCTGAAACAGGAAGAGCTTTGAGTGTCTAGAGTTGCCTCCACAGTCTTATTTTATGATTACAAGTAAACCTATTTGGTTAGAATCTAATTAGGAAAGCATTAGTAAATGCTTGTTATTCAGTACTCTAGAATGCTTAAGTGCTATATTTGAGAAATGAAATGCTTTTTAAATTAGTCAAATAGTGCATATTATGGCTGTAATGCTGCCCTTGTGCAGTACCTGCCTGCCCACTGTTGCACTTACTAGTCATTAGCAGTCATTTCTCCATTACCAAATTCACCTTAGGGTTCTGTAGTATACTGTAATACCCTTAAAAACTACATCTTATTGTTTCACACTTGCCTTTCTTA